CCACAACTATCACTATCAAACATTGACGAATATTCAAAATATGCAGTGATAAGGGTGCATCATCTTGAAGTTTTCTCATGCACAAATATTTTTTTTCTATGGGAAAACTTGGAATACTGCCTTTCGACTAGTTCTCTCTTAGGCTGATAACTAGAGAATATTCTTACCACAACCCAACCATGTTATGTGGATAGCTTTCAGTGCTGCGGGTACAACCTTTTGTTGTGGTCACCATGATGCATTCTGTATTTGCCGCAGTTTCGTTGAAAAATATGAAAGGGATAATGCACCTTGCAACGAAAAATCTCTTAACAGTTAAATGATGTTATTTAAGAGACCGAACAGTCAACCGTTGCAAGAGTACTACAAGGACTACGATGCTGAGCTTGAAGGCTGGTTGATAAGTTATTATCCAAAAAACTTCAGTTTAATGACGGTATCGTAAATTATGCTCAAATAACCGTAAAAAATACTCATTTTGAATATCATCTCAATATAACAGTACATTAGCGATCATGATTTATAGAAAAAAATAGCATGAAGGGCCTGCTTGTGGCTAGTTGGGGCAAAGGCTACATTGCAGATATTCTCATGGCATGGTTGATCTTTAGCAGTAAAGATGTTTTTCTCTTGTTTTTTGCTTGTCGAACCGTCACATTCCGTAGAGATCAATTTGATGTAGCAGGTGTCGCGGATATTTTGATATGTATAGAACGATCTTTGAAATTTATCTAAGCTGCTCGTCTTTTATACGTTATCTGGCAACAAAACATAGAAAAGCTGTTAGCTTTTCTCAAAACAATGGGTTATCTTCAAAAAAACTCGTAAAGGACTAGATATTTAGCTGTAGCGAAGATGATCGACCCAGCTGCACCACGACCTGAAGGTCAGCTCATGACACCGGTGCGTGGTGAAAGTACTGGAGCTACAGCTCAAAACCATCCACGGAGCCTAGATAGGTGAACATTTCATTTTTTTAGCTCTAAGTATTGATTCTGTCAAAGGCAGAGCATTTATCACAAACTTATTACCCTCTCTTCGAATATACAAAGTATCTCCATAACAATTATTTTGAGTTTTTTTTTTATTTTGGAGGCCTACTAACTATCGCCATTTTCGTGCGTCATGAAATAAAATTTCTTGAAGAGGCTTTCATTTTCAATTGATTAGAAGTTAAATTGAGGAGCATTTGCTAAAGATATGATTTATTCAATTTTTATTATTCAAAAAACAGG